TATGATATGAAAAGATGAATGCGAGGCGAAAAACCTTGTTTAGTGTAACTCCACAGTGAAGTACAGTGAAGCCTGCCGAGTCTGGTAAGGTAATTAGTCTAGATCGAAGAGGGGAAAAGTCGATTCGCATAGCACCTCCTTCTTCAGCAAGAATCTGAAATTTCCACCCAGACGCATTGGAAAACCATTCTTTTATGCTCTCCTATATGATGGATTATTTTGTCAAAGACGACAATGAATTTTTAAAAACAGGAAAAATTTCGAAATCTTTGCAAGCCTCAGGTTGTGGACTTAGCAGCTAATGACCTTATACGCCTTATTGCCGCTTCTGAGCTGAATGTAGGAATTAGTAGGCAAGAATAATGAGGCTACTTGATTATTCAAAGAAATACTATCCGCTTAGCAGTGGCTACACAAAATCCTTCCCAATCTCTTCAAATTCCCTTTTGTAGAAACAAATCAGAATAAATCGCTGCATTAGCCCATGTAAATCCTCAAATAAACTGAAAAATAGGCAATATTCAAACAAACAAACAGCTACCTCTGTTGCCTGATCCATTCCACCACCCTGTGTGCCAATATAGTGTTCAGCCTCAGCGCAAAGATCAGCGAGTTCTTCTCTAGAGTGTTATAATCAGAAATGTTACTATATAAAAATAGGAAGTTATACCTTGTTAAATTTTCAAATATTTTCTTTGTATGAACCATCCAGGTTGTGAGAGCTGCGGCACAAACGAGAGATGAACTACTGGAGAGGCCGGAAGACGGGGGGATCGTGCCTATTTCGCAGTTTAACGATAGAATGCAATTAAAGCTAAGCATGAATAGTATAGCAATACCTTCTACCAAAATATCAAATCCGATTTGATTGCATTTAAGCTTCTCGATTATTCCTTTCCACCCACACATTACGTAGTCGTACCATTTTGGTGGGGACACTCCAGACCAATCAGAAGGAATAGATATGACGTGTTCCCTAAAGGTTTATTTGGACACATGAGCTGGTAAAAACAGAAATTCGAAAAAGGCGTCCACACAACAAAAACAATATTCGCAAAGTGTAAGGAAGAATATGGGAAACTGAAAAAGAAAAGAACATACGGATATTGGTCATCCACATTGGCAATTCGTATAATCGATTCTTCATTAGGAGCAGCTAAGATTTCTGTGCCGCATTCTGTAGCCATAGGCAGAACACCGTACCCATGATAATCGATGTGCTCTCCTAAGAAAGAAGTAAAAAGGAGAGGAAATCAAAACTGAAATAAGTTTAAGTAAGACTTCAATATGAAGTGATAGAGATCTAACAGACTTACCGTGCTCGAGCCTTTGGAAAAATGAAGAAAAGGATCTCATGATTTCAGGTTTTGCGCTGGTTATAAGGCTTCACCTCATTATTTCGAACAACGAGATAACCGTAACGGAGTTCTCAGATTTTTTCAAAGATACATAGAAGCAAAAGAAGGCTTAAGCACATCTTTTTGATATTTCTGCTTCTACTTCCGCGACTTTGCTATGATTTCATTTGCGAT